TCCAGATTTTCAAATAGTTGTATCTCAACCAAATATTGTCCTATCCTAACAAACCATACATCAATGCTTATTTATTCAGCTTTCAGATGATGTATAAATCTCAATTTCGAAAAATTGACCCTTATGACTGGTTTTGTGCTCCAGGGTCACATATACACAATTCATCTTATCTGGGTGGCTGCGTCCGGTGCGAATTCACTTCTGCCTTCCTACAGACACAAGAGGCGAAGCTCCGCTCTCCCAAAACAATTACACGCTAATCTGCGGCACCCAATGAGAATGAGCTCTTTAATCAGGCTGCTGGCAGGCCTTCACTTCACCCGCCGCGGAGGAAGCTTTTATATGAGCTGTCAAAGAGGCTGACCTCGCTAGATCGGCTCCGTTCAGTGAAAACTCTCTTGATATTTTAAGAACAATTACAGAAGAATGCAATAAAGCATACTTCATTACCTTTTGAATCTTAGAAGGGTTCAATTTGAGCAGATGATTTCACCATCGCTGTCATCGTCAGAGCGCACTTCCCCGTTACATTCAGCATCTGCCTCATATTCACAATCTCAACCACATTCTCAAAACTATCGTTTTCAACGACTTCAAAATCAATATTTTGATCACTGGCAGCTGATGATATTCTTTTGTTTTATGCCTGCGGTAATTATGAGTGAATCGTCACGTCATTATTGTGTATCAAACAGTGCCACCTCGAGGAATAAAGATGCATTGCAGTATTGAGTCATCAGATATGTAAATATAGTTGCGCAGGAAAAATATGCTTACACATTTATACCTCGGGTCTCTAGCGACCCTATACACTTTTTTACGAAAAATTAATCAGAAAACAGGTATTCTTTTATATTTTATTGTTTTTTTTTCTTGTTATATTGTTTATAATGAGCAGCTAAGTCCTTAGCCATCTTCAAGAATCAGCTAAAAACACATCTCTTCCATCTTTATTTGACCCTCTGACTCTAGCACTCTATATTCCAATTCTATTCTTAAAAAAAAAGTGCCCCTTTTAGTCTTGCGCTCTATTCATTTACAAACTGCTTGTTTTCTTAAAAAAACAAAACTAACACTAGCTTCTCTATTCTTTTTCTTTTCTATCTGTTTTCTTTTTATTTATTATATAATAAAAAAAACCTTGCTGCGTGTACTGCGTTAAGCTAACTGAGGCTTGTTATAGCAGTTGCGTATCATTGCTCTTTTGTTGAGTTTGAGTGCTTCTATTGTCCTCAATTGCAAGTCGCTTTGGATAAAAGTGTCTGCTAAATGACTAAATGATTGAATTGAAGAATACTAAGAACACTTAAAAATAAAGGTGCTTCACGATGCCATAGAAGAACCCTTTTTTGTCTAAATGGTTCCATAAAGAACCTTTAACATCTGAAGAACCTTTCTGTTTCACAAAAGCTTCTTTGTGGCGAAAGAAGGTTCTTCAGATTATAAAAAGGTAAGAAAGAGATGGTTCTTTAAAGAACCTTTGACTCAATGGTTCTTTGTGGAACCAAAAATGGTTCTTTTATGGCATCGCTTTACTTTTAAGAGTGAAAGTTGATGCCTAACTTTAAAACAATGAAGGAGGGAAAGTGTAGTGAATTATGTATGCATTCAAGGGTTAATGTTTTAGGAGTTGCTCACGTGGAGCACTCAGGAGTCAAGAACAAGAGCGCGTTCATAACCGAGTGCGTTTATCGGCTCATAAAACGTCTGACAGCGCAGTCAACAAACAGGGTCGTTCGCCTGTCAAGCGCTGAAAGCATCCGATGCCAAATGAATCACAAGTGCGTTTGCTTTGTATTTCAGAGGCGTGGCTTGTATCCGTCCGGAGGAGCTTTTGTTTGTGTGTGCTGTTTGCTTTTGGTCGAGCTGTTTCTGTCAGTGAGAAGATGCACGGAAAGCAGAATGAAGGGATTTGTTGCTTGTTTCATTAATAAATAGACGCGGTTCGGGGCTTAAGTGACGGCGACGTCTCATTTCTAACTCCCAGTGTACACCGACTCGCTCTGTGCTGTTTTTAATTAACTGGCACTGCAGAGTTAATTCATGGACAGAAGCGGTCATTGGGAAGTGTCGAGATGCGGGAAGCTGCAGCAATGCACTGTGGCTAATGTTGCGAGAGAATTAATAAACACAAATGCACTCGACGCTGCAGTCATGTTTCTGTCTACTGAAGATAAATTATAGTCAAATACAGACATAGTACGGACAAAGTACCTTGAACTGCTATGTTAATAACATGGTAATAACATAGTAATAGTTCAGTTTCCTGTGTTGTTTTTGATTGCTTTGTGGGGATGCGCAATATGTTGGTAAAATACATTTTTAATTTATCAGTATCAGTCAGTATGAGATATTTAATTTATGTTTTATTAATAATCACAAAGATGTTCACACATAGACACCACAGCCACATTTATGTCTACTGAAGTTAAAATATAGTTAAATACATGTCAAGCTATGCTGAAAAAAGAAGAACCAAACTGTACCTCAGTTCTTCGTACCTTGAACTAACATGTTAATAACATGGTAATAACATGGTAATAACATGATACAATGTTCCATTTCCTGTAATTTCTGTCCTTCAGTGTTATTTTTATGTGCTTTATGGAAATGCACAATATGTTGGTAAAATATATGGTAACACTTTACTTAAATTGTTATATATAATACATTATAAAATACTTTTTAATGCATTGATTATACTTTGTAATGCACCTATAATGCATTGCATGATCTCATGAATAATTGTAACTACAGTTATAATGCATTATAACACTTATCAATTAATTATTACTGTCAGTTCAAATGAAATCAATTCATTTAGAAAGTATATTGCATTAAACCACATGACAAACAGCCCTTCAAATGTTATAATGCATGTTAACTTTGGCTACAATTGTTTATGAAAATATATAATGCATTACAACATACATTATGAATAGCTTTGTAATGCATTACACATAAAGGCTTTAAGTGTTACCAAATATATTTTAAATGTATGAGTATCAGTCAATATGGGATATTTAATGGTTCATGCTTGTTTGTCATCACCGAAAACTCACTTAAATGAAACTTTAAAAACACCAATAGTTTAATAACACTGTTAAATTAACTTTTAACCTTTAGCAAATCTCAGAATGAATATCCATTTTTCATATTGTATATTGTCGTGTTGTGATGCCTAAGTTCACTTGTAGCATTTAAAATGATTGAATTATGTTTTCAGTGTTTTTAATTTATTTGGTCAAAATGTTATATACAGTGCCCTCCACTCATATTGGCATGCTTGGTAAATATGAGCAAAGGCGGCTGTGAAAATAAATCTGCATTGTTTATCCTTTCGATCTTTCATTCAAAAAAATCACAAAATTGTAGCCTATCATTGAAGTAAAAAAAATGAAATTGGGGGGAAAATCTCGTTGTGAAATAAATGCTTTCTCTAGTTCATGTTGGCCACAATTATTGGCACCCAATTACTGTAACATCTGTAACATCTTTAGTTGATTGGAACCTCTTAATTATTGCCCTGATGGTGGAAATGGGGATTTTCAATGCTTTAGCTCTTTTCTTACAGCCACTTTCTATTTTGTGAAGCTCAACTATATTCATTGCTCATATTTACCAAGGGTGCCAATATTAGTGGAGGGCATTGTGATTTTATTTTCAGCCATTTTTTTTAGTTATCATGTCCCATTTATTTCTATAGCATTTTATACTATGCAGTTTGTTTCAAAGCAGCTTCACAGAGATAAACAGGACACATCTTGAAGCGCTACTTGCTGATTAAGGACCTTGTGAAGTAATCCCAGAAGGTGCTCTTTGGTTGTGTTTGAAGCAACCATTACAAAAATTTTTAAAAAAAAAGCACTTCTTCTGGTCCAAATAAAGTTAAAAAGCCTTTATTCACATTCTGGCCATCTCAATAAACATTAAAAGTGCCTAAAACTCTGCACATGATGCATTTCGGCCTTTAGGTGACACACTCTTTGAAGGCCGAAATGCATCAGTGTGCAGAGTTTTAGGCACTTTTAATGTGCCTTGGATTCTTTCTTTGTAATTGTGAATGTATGAGCAGCTGGATGAAGGGTTTTCACATCTCTAGACGAGAGCTTTGTGACTTTGGTCTGCCTGTCGTTCACTCTGTTAAATGTGCAATTAAATTTCTAGCTATTATAACACTATTTACCCAGAAATGCAGCCTAAAGGGTGTAAAACCAGCATCCGCAGAGCCTCATACGCTCTCAGTGCTGTTATGATATGGATGCGCTTCTCTGCTAAATGAGTGGGATGTTCCTGAGAATAGATTTGCTGTCACCGGATGGGTGCGCCTGGGCACGATTACATCCAGCAAAGCTGCATTAATAGAGAGAGAAAGAGGAAAGTGCATTGCTTCATGCTGTAGGAGACACAGTTTATTGTCTTTGAATAACACACCAGACACGATCTGACACGTCTGTAATGAAAGCAGCATACGGAGGTGCTACAGTGTGTGTGTACTTCTAATGAACCGTGTAATCTGGGGAAAAAAATCATCTGAATCCCACAGACTTCTGACTGTCTTTCCTAGGAGTCGACTTGTTGCATTCTAAAAATATCTAAGAAAGAGTTTGCATATGTTCTTTTTTGTGTCTCATATTTGATCTTGACACGAGAAGCTCCAGCTACAGTTACACTAAAAGAGCTTTTACTGGATAAAACACTCTAAACTATCAGACGACAGAAGAGATGAGGAGATTGTGTGAAAGTTAAAGAAATCAGATGCGGTGCAGTGGTTTTCTAGAGTGAATCCTGAGGTCTGTAGGTGTTTGTGTTTGACAGGAAGAATCCTGAATGCTCTCCATCACTGTTTCTTTCCTGGTTCCTTCCTGTTTCCTGTTTCCTGTTTCCAGTCTGTGACTGTTTGCCCTGCGGACCTGATCCTGCCTTCACTGACGCTCCTGTCTCCATCTCTCCTCCCCTCCTCTCTCTCTCTGTCTCTGGTTCTCTGGTTCTGTCTGCAGTAGAGATTAAAGTCATTAAGGATCTGCCGTGGCCTCCTCCGGTCGGGCAGCTCACCTCCGGTCCTCCTCTGATGGAGGCTCCGTCTTCTCCGGGAGACCAGCTCCAGCACGGTGGGTCCAGCCTCATCCATCACGTCCTCCAGACCCCCAGCAAACACTCCAGTAAAGGTCTCCACAGACAGGGCTTAGACTAAGCCAGGACTAGGCCATAGTTCAATTAGCACATTCAAGTAATTTTTATAAACTTGCCTTAGAAAAAAAAAAAAACATTACTGGTGTCCATCTTGAGACAAAACAAAGGCATTGATATATTTTAAGATCAATCAGTGCAAGTTTCTTTCAGTTGAAACAGCTCAGACTTGCATTTTAGTCTGGGACTAGGCTTAAGCCTTGTCTGTGAAACCGGAGGTTTGAGTATCTGGTTTTAACGGTACTTAAGTATTTTACTTATAATAAATATAGGCTCAAAGATGCACTAGACAAAGAGACATGCCAGTCAAAAACTGTAACGTTGAGTAGAAGCTGGAGAAAACAGGCAGAGCCAAGGATCTTTGAGCAGGGATTTAATGGCAAAACTAGAACAAACAATAAGCCAAAGGGAACAAAGAACAGAATGACGGGCAAACATTACATTCAACAACTCACAAGGAACTAAAGAAACACTAGGGATATATATATATATATATATATATACAGGAGGCTAACAAAGATCAGATACAAACTGACTACAAACACCACGGGAGACAGAAGTGACATAAAAGCCCAAGACAAGGCACAGAGAGCATGTAACAAAAACAAGAAAGAGCTGATTGTGAGGAGAGCAATCACGTTTATTTTCTAAAACCAAAATAAAACAGCACCCAGAATTGCAAAAAAAAAAAAAATTTTTTTTAATGTCTCTTCAGTATAACAGATAAATAAAACAAGGTTAAGTAAAATTAAAACGTCAAAGCCTTTTATTGCACTGGATTTTGCTGATTTCGATACAAGATGCAGTACATTCGGAGCCCTGTAGTTGGCAGTATCACGTCTTTTGTAGCACAAATAAACTGCTGCAGAAAAGCTAGATGTCATGTAAAATGTAATGTGTAACTGCAACACTCATTAGAGATGCAGTGGAGTAAAGAGTACAGATACTCGTTCAAAAATGTAGCGACGTAGAGAGTAAAATTGGCTAATATATTTGGTACTCAGTAAAACTACAAAGTATCCAAAGAGATACTGAAATACAGTAATTAGTTACATTTACTCCAATACTTTACACCTCTGCGCAGATCTCGGAGTCTGTAGGAAAGAGAAATCACTAATCAAACCTCTTAACATCTCAGTTGTTTCTCCTGATCTATAATGAGACTAAATGGATAGTTTTGTTGAGTCTTAAGCTTTGTATCTTGACTTCATAAATCACAGTGCGGTTTCATATATCACAATGTGACTTTATTTCTCATAATTGCTGCTTTATTTCTCCTAAATTTGACTTTATATCTCAGAATGTCACATTTAATTTCACAGTGTGACTTTATATGTCTGTGCTTTTGTTTTTCATTTAAAACTCTTTCAGTTTCTTCTTCCTCCTCTTCTATTCTGAGACGGAAATTAACAGATGTTCTTCTTCTTCTTCTTATGAAATAATATTTACTGTGTATGTAATTCCTGGAAATATCAGAACATTTTGAAATGGTGATTTCCAGGACTGTAGGACTGTCGTAATGTATTTATTTATTTATTTTGGGAGGTGGGTATGCTTTCTCTAAAATTGACTAGAAAGTAATTTTTGTCAATGCGAAATGCTTTAAAAATACAGCAACACTTGGAAAGGCATCGGAAATTATTAGACATTTTATTGAATTTATTAGATGTGGGCACCTTGTATATATATGTATATATAACACATACAATTTGAACATTTTAGTTTTATTCTGAGCCAGAAATTAAGTGTTCATTATCCTGATTAAGTATATTAACTGTTAAGTATATTAAATCTGTTTTGTTTTATTTATTTATTTGTTTGTTTTTATTCATATTATTAGTAGTAGTAGTATATTTTTTTTTTTGAATAGTCCCTCGATTCCTTTATAAATTCAGCGTTTTATTCCATTTTCATGAATAATGTAAACTTGTTTCTGTGTGTTTGACTTCCTCTGTTGAGGTTGTATTGTGTTATTCTGGCTCTTAAAAACAGCTGAAGAGCTTTCGCACTCATGAAGCACATATGCTCAGATAAAGTTAATGGGCTGCTGTGAGATGTAAGCCTCTTTCTTGCGCTACCGTCCACATTTAGCATTTGCTTCCAGTGAAGCAGAACATGACTGAGGCTTGAGTCCAGCGTTCCTGAAAACACCTCGCTGGCTACTCCACTGGCCTCGCTCCGTTCCCACGGCTCTCGGCCCCGCCCCCACTCGTCACATACTGAATCTTTTTTTTTTTGTGGGTGAGATGAATTAATGCATATTCAATTTATTTTAGAACTACAGTAACATCTTCTGATTTCTGTCACCATGGCAACACCAGAGCTGTCAGTCAATAAATTGGAAAAAAAAAGTAACTTGCATTATTTATTCGAAAAAGTAACTCAGATATTCTCTTGTAAATTAAAAAGTAATGTGTTACTTTACTAGTTACTTGAAAAAAGTAATCTGATTACGTAACTCGCATTACTTGTAATGCGTTACCCCCAACACTGGTCCCGTAGAGATTACAGATGTTCAGATCAGATGACTAGGATTCATGTTTCCATTGCAGGCGTGTTCTGGAAAACGTACGCTCACGTGTCGCCATAAAAGCAAATAATGCTTGAAAGTGGTGTTGCGTGTCTCCGGTGAGCGCGCTGGAGATCCAGATTTATGTGTGGAGCGGTGTTTCTGCGTGTGGATCTGAGCACTGTAAGTTAACCTGGATCCATCCTTTCCTCCAGAGATTAACCGTAAGACGATCGCAGGAATAAACGGGTTAAAGAGTCGTCTCACAGAGATCAGGGAAATACACTGAGTAATGCTGTCTGCACAAGCTCAAGTGCAGATCCCCAGACTACCAAAACACTTAAAATAGTAACATTATTGTTCATTTAAATAAAGCTGGAAAAAATAATTAAATTTAAATTTAAACTGAACTAAAACTGAAACAGAAATTAAACTATACCTGAACAGTAATAACTAAAAACTCTAAAACTATTGAAGTTTTTTTTTTAATAATTTAAATAAAGCTGAAAGGAAATAAAATGTACACTGTAAAAAAAAAAATGAAAAAATAATAATAATCCACCTATTTCAACTTAAAAAATTCAGTTCAAGTTATATATATATATATATAAACCTCGCTATGTGTACTGTACGAGACTTATCATAGCACTTGCATATTATTGCTCTTTTGTTGGTTTTGATTGCTTCTAAGTCGCTTTGGATAAAAGCATCTTCTAAATGATTATATGTTAATTATAGACATGCTAATGAGCAACTAGTTAATTGTGAGAATTGGTCCCTAAGTGTTACCGTATCTGAAAGCACTAAAACTATTCAAAGCAATTTGTTAATTTAAATAATTAAAATAATTGAAATATTTACATAAAAACGTCAGAACGTCAACTGAAATAAAACTACAATTGAAATGAAATAAAATCGAAATATTAATATCTAAAAACAACAACATTTAAAAAATTGCATTTATTGTTGTTAACTGAAATAAAAATGTAAATATTAGATGAATCTCGAAGATCTTGAAACTGAAATAAGTTTAAGTAGAAGCTCTAAAACTACTAACTGAAAAAAATAACGAAATATTCATATTTAAGCAGAACAAAAATTAATGGAAATTACAAACGCACATAACAAAATTTGTGAAAAATCTAACTAAAATTATAATGAGATCTAAAAATATAAAAAACATTTACATTTAGTTGTCATATTTATTCATTTTATAATTTTTAGTCATTAATTTGTTAATTTCAGTCAGATGTAGGCGGTGTATTTGTACACAAGTGCTGCTTTGTTCAGACCTATATAGCACCTGACAACCTGTCGCATCAATCTGACCGGATTTAAATTTTTGCAGCTACTTGATGGGCCAGAAATTAAATTTGCATATAAATATCGTCAAACTCTTTTGTTTGCACCGAGAAAAGCCGGCACTTCTTTTGTTTTGGCGTCTGAATTAATTGTTGCTGCTTTCCGGTCCTTTCTTCTGGGCTCATATCTGCCTCATGTCTCTGTAGAATATGAAATAATAGAATTAAAAGCGATGCAGATTTCATTATGCGAGTGTGACTGTGGGGTTTAGCCCGCGAGGCCTGCTTTTCTCTGCCTTTGTCAAACACATGGACTGTATTCCTGGGGTTTAATGAAGGGAAGAAACAAAAGACAAATGAATTTGTCCGTGTGTGTGTGTGTGTGTGTGTGTGTGTGGGTGAGAGTGAGTGTGTGTGTGTGTGTGTGTGTGTGTTTTCCCGTCACTGAACCCAGACTCTGTTTTAAAGTTCAGACTCTGGTTTCTGTTCCAGATCAGACTGAACTCTTATAAGTGTTTTCCATGCAGACTCACAGATGAGGTTTTTGCCAGACCAGATGAACACCTTGGGCTGGTTTTAGCTATTTTTCACTGTGTGTGTGTGTGTGTGAGAGAGAGAGAGTGTGTGTGTGTGTGTGTGTGTGAGTGCGTTTTTGTGTGCGAGTGCGTTTGTGTGTGCGTGTGTGTTTGTGTTTGTGTGTGTTTTATGTTTTTTTATGCATTTATTTCTCATTACCACAGTTTTTGTTAATACATTTGAATTTGTTACAACTGTAATAAATAATGAAATTTTTTAAATATCCTGAATTTAAATGATTTTACTTTTTTGTTTGTTTATTACAATTTAATTAGACCATTAAAAATGGAATCCATAAAAATAAAAAAAATTAAAATTAAAACATGGACTTTTTTTTGGGGGGGGGGGGGTAATTAAATTAAAATAATTGATTTTTATATTGTTTAAAATTCACTTCAGCATTCAAAACAACACATTTATTTTTTTTATTGTATTTTTAGACACAATAGTAGGCCATCACATTGCTGCTCATTTGCATAGTTAACTTTCTCTCAACCTTGAATCACAGGACACGCCCACACGGCGTTGCCAACGG